CCAATCGGAAAGAGCTCGGCTGCCGACGATTCGGACAGCTCTGCGCTGGATAGGATAAAATATATACGCACTCGGCTTAAAGCCGATTCCGCGTCGATAAATGTAAGGACTCCATAACTCGTAAGCAAATATGTCGGTGAATATTTATTCGGATTCGGTAAGACTTACTTCATTTATGAATTTTAAAACGACGCAAGTGTTCCTTCAGAAGCTATATACAAAGCGGAAAAAGATATCATACTTTTAACCATCTTTAGAAAAGGCGGAGGTTCTTAATTCTACTGAATTTTTCTAGGTGTGTTACGCTATATCTTCACTAATTTTAACCTGTTTTTCTATTAGATTGAATAAACTATACCTGGAGGATGAACGTTTAAATTTTAAGAATGAACCCCGAAAGGTGAAAAAATAGGACATGTAATTTAAAAATAACTATAACATAGACTGCGAGTTGGCAAACCTCTGCCACGCTTGGTAAACAATAGCCGATATTCCCTTTATAGGAATTTGTTTTTTTTTTAAATTTTTTCCTTTGTTTTTTTGTCCTATGACAACCTATGGGAGACTTTTGTTCAGCAGTGAACTTTTGATAGGCTGGTAGTTATGATGCGGATGATAGACGACGTTCTTCTTGTCACCGTGGCCGTTTGTAATTGTTTGGTTCACTAAAATGTGTCAATTAATTTAAGTTATAAAAAATTATAAACCGAATTTAAACTCAAAAAGTATAAAATATTATACCCATAATTTCAGCAATCTACCGCTTTCACCATCGACGCGTCGGTACTGTTGACTAATTTAAATTGCTCCTATTTTAGATTAAATTATATTTATAGCATCTATGCTACATATCATATCCAACTTCTTAGAAGAAAAGAGACCCTCACCGTCAATGTATTCGAACCATTTTCGAACCCGTTTTTAAACTATCTCCCCACACTAACTCATAGCTATAAAACTTACATACATATAATATTGCATGCCCAAATACGGGCCCTCGGATATCTAAAGCTCTAAATTTAAGGAATAAATCTATTATCCTAAATCACGAAAATCTGTAAAGTGCAATTTTGCATTTTTCACTCACTCGTTAAAATCTATGCCACTTCTAGGTTTCCTAGAAATTTGAAATTTGGCATCATGGTAGATCATTAGGCATATAGAAAGGCGAAAACCCGAAAACTTCAGACTATTACTACAAAATACAATCTTTATTCGCTTTCAACATTTGTTAACAAAATGGTTCATGCCGTTAAAGTTGCATTTACAGTATTTAAAACTAACCGCACCAGGAACTATGTAAATTTAAAAAAGCAAACAATGCTTAAACATTTGAAGTTCAACCTTTTTAAAATGTAAAATAAAATATTTATAAATGTAAATAAAATAATACATTTGTTGATTTTTCTAATTTATTTTGCACCCAGCTACCTAATAAATAAATCGACAATCGAAAGATTTTAACAAACTCTATTTTGCAGTAAGTACGATGCGCTTACATCATCTAAGCGAAGTCTCACGTTAACTTTGCCAAAATTATAGATAGATTGTAGATTATATTTACTTTAATTGATAGAATTAGGCGTCAAGTCACTAAGCGGTCAGCCGCCGTAGAGTCTACATCACCTGAGGATGCCTCGTGTAGAGGCGAAACACGTGTCGTATTGTCGTCGATGGCGTGTCTTACCTGGAATAGTGCTGTTGGAAGTAGTGGTGCCGGGAGTAGTGGTGTTGGGACTAGTGGTGACGGAATTAGTGCACGCAATTGAGGGAGGGCGGGAGGTGCTCTTCAATCCAGGTATGACACATCATTGTATTTAGTTAGCGGAAGGTTTCAAATTAATTAATATTTTTGTTATATATACTTTGTCTTAGAATTGAATTACGAGAAAGTTATTTCATTATTTTGAGGTTTCAAGTTAGTTTTTACTTTCAAAAAGAACCATCATTTTGAATTTAAATTCAATAATGGTGCCACTTCCATTGACTTATATGTTACTAGGAAATCATTGGCCACTTGTAGCTTACTTAAGAATGGTGATGGTGTGAACTTTCATTTCGACCAGCTAACACTTCACATCATGGTATTTCACTACTGCAACCCATGAACACCTGGAACTAACATCAAACAAAGATGATATTATTAAAGAATTTTACGTTATAAATATCGATATTTTCTGATGCGATCAACTACATACACAGTAACATTTGTGATGCTATTGTGATAACATTGGATCCATTGAACCAGATATACCAAAAACAACTGAACCACAAGGTTAGCCCTTTATTCGGTTATATTAGACTAAACCCCACGGTGTTCCATCTTCACCGCATTTCCACAGGGCCACAACACTTTCACACATATCCGCTCAAACCAATTACACCATTTATTTCCGATTCAGATGGCAAAATAATAATTTACGCTAGATGTAGAATACCAAGACCGGTGACGGGGAGCAATGACACAGGTCCGTGATGTCTGATTGCGATCATTAACACATTAGCGTGAGCAACGTCTTACAATGTCGTGTTGATAGAATTACGAAATGGCGATGGCGCGACGTTATAGGACGTCTTCTGATTGTCATATTTATTTCCACGGAACGTCTTTGGACATCTTATTTTATAGGCGAATTCCTATGGCGTACCAAAGTAGCGCCGCAACTCATTCAATTTTCAAACCGTATACCCGCCGCGTGACGTAAAAAAATATCTTTATAGTTTTATGCGAATACATGTAAAGTTGTGCGCCGCAGCATTTAGAGATGAGGTTGCTTACGCGAACGTGCATCTGAAAGGGTGGTGATTAAGGCAAATCCGAAAACTATTGAAAGTAAACTGTGCGTTATGGTGCTTTATGTACCGCAGTTGACGGGCAACTTTCAAGAATATCATATTATAGAATATCATAGTATAGACGCCTAACATAGCTTAAACGTAGTGCTTCAAGCTCAAAAACATTTTTGACGTCAAGCATAGCACTTTAAAATAATTGTAGAAAATTATCGTTCCAAAATATTTTTACGTTAAATAAACTTTCAGTGCAAAAGTTGAAATTCAGTTAGTAATAACAAGCGATTTTCAGCCGCAAAATATTGCATTCCATGTACAAAGTTCTAAATTTTATTCAAACAACAAAAAAGTCGAATATTCCCGAGTGGTTAGCAGTGTAAAGCATCCAGCGTGTCGTTGAATAGAGTAAATAAACTTTTTGCCTTCTATTTTAATATGTTAAAGGCAATCTATATTTTTCCTCTATACAGTTACACCTTATATACGTGCCAAGCCACTGGTGTGCATAGGTCTCCTCTCATTTCTAAGATGATTGTAAAGCAATTAGACCGCCCCGCTCCTTAAGTGTTAGGGTTAGTGTTGGGGCTTCACACATCATCGAAATATTTTCTACAACGTAGTCGTCCTGATTGTAAGCGGATGAATGCCCATAGAAACCTACACCTATTCAGGGTTAAGGGCCTGTGTTACCTCAAATAGCTTAACAAGATCCTCCGTTATGCCGAAAATACTGCTAATAATTTTGAAATAAATATATGGTAAAGTTGAGGATGAATGTTAAATATTATGGTAGACGAAAACACGATTCCGTAAAATTTTCTTGATAGAAAAAAATCCAAAGTTACCTCCAAACTGAAGAATAAACCGCTGGTATTCATAAAATACTTTAAATTAGATTATGAAACTTTGCATACTTTTGAACTAACTATAAAGCAGTGTTTTTTTTCTTTTTTTTTTTCACTGTAAAAAGAAATTACCTAAACGATTGGCATCCTGAACTTTGTTCCCTGCCGCCCAATCAGTCTCGCTTCAGCTTTCGAACGGGAAAGATGTGTTGCTTCCGATCAGAATACACATTACGCAACAGTACGACGTAAAATCGATGGCCCCAACGAATAAACGTGCAAGAGCTCTTACCCAAATTTTTTTTTCGTATTTTTCGTTTGCTTAGCCTATTATACACCTAAGTATATTTTTTTGAATATTTTAGACTTCGAATAAGCCTTTTATAGCACAATATTCCTTTATTGTACGGAAAAAAATATTTACATATCACATGAATAATAAAACATGCGCTTATTGCCGATTATTAGTTTATTTGAGTTCACCAGAATAAACGTGTTAAATCAATCTGCCGCTCGTGTCTATCCTTTCCTTTGGGTAATAACTCTTGCACGATTTTTCGTGTAAAAACGCAAGCGACTTTTATCAGTAATGCCTCATTGCAGGCGGCAAAACTTTGAATATAATAATTACAGCTATGCTATTGTCTTTTAACATTTTTTCTTGTTTTTTCTACTTTTGTAAAGGTTTAAGCCCTAATATTATTCGATCATGAATTTGAAGTTATTGGTAGTAACCGTTTAATAAACGTATACTTTCCCAATAGTGTCTATTGCAATCGCTCGTTACAAAAGGGGCGAAGCGGGAGCGGGGTATGTAAGATGCGCGTGACATCGCTAGACCCCGGAAGGTCAGTCCGGATGCGAATTTGCTCGAGTTATTATGTAATTTCGTTTGTTTACTGAGCACATGCATTGTTGTTAAAATTCTTATTAAATCATTAATGAGTGATAAGTATAATTATGAATAGATACAGAGGTACTTCAAGTCGTTGCAGAAAGATATTAAAATTGGTGAACTATAGGATACACGGTATGTACCTACATATTATTATTGATTAACTACTTTTGTGAGTAAGAGGATACACACTTTAATCAATGGAAATTGGATTCTTATTATTCTTTCCCTTTATAACAGGTGGTACCATGTTATGTGGACTCCGACAACCTTTTTAGTTAAATGTAATAAGAACGAAAATCACCTGACACAGGCACCGCGCGGGGCAATTTATTGTCTTATGTATTATGTAACTATTCTCTTTAGAAGGATTATTTGCTTTTACAGGCTCAGCTGATATTGTATCGAGTACACATTTTTTGATCCATGTTAAGTACTTTTTTTTTCAGACAATATTATTAATGAAGATGACAGAAGTATTGAACTTGAAGAATGATGAAATTAAAGGTGAGAATGATGAAACTTTTTCTTTAGTTGTTGGTTAGATATAATATAAAACTTACCAAGGGCTGCGTGGGGGTGAGGAGCTGAGTGTAAATGTAAATAAATAGTTATTGAAAACATAGTAATGTAGTCATTTGAGTAATTTGTTGTAGAAAATTTCACATATCTTTCGCGAAGTTCTTTCCCCATTGATGGCATATCAGACCTCAAAGAAGTCAACTCAGAACCTGATGATTTTATTACACCGGCTCCATTAATAGTAGTAAATGTATCTCCACATGATAATAATACCTCACCACCAAATGTACCAACAAATGACATTTTAGATATTTCTCATAATGTTATTGAATCATTACTACCTGAAGTGGAATACCCTACTCCACTGCAATCTGTAAATAATAATGATGATTTACAGACTACTGATAATTCTATTGTAATGACTTCATCAACCCAACAAAAAATAGATTTTATAGCCACGCCGACTGTTTTATACATTAATAATGATTACGATCTAAGAAATATTTCCGACTTTTTTTAGAAAATGGGTTTTTTACATAGTATTGAAACACAAAATATATCACAGGATATTGTAACTACAGAATCGGAGGAAAGACCCGTCACTCCTATAGCACCGCTTACAAAAAAGAGAAAAATAGATCCTAATTTATGGAAAGATCGCAAAAATAAAACTCTTAAAAATTCTGGTAAAAGTTATGAAAGTGTTAGAACTAAAAAGCAAAACGTAGAAAAATCTATAGGTCCACCGTGCAACTGCAAACTGAAATGTTACGAAAAGATACAGCAAAATATGAGTAGTAAAATTTTTCAAAATTTTTGGGCTATCGGGGACCACGAAAGACAGTGGGATTTTATTAACCGCCATGTAAAAAAAGAAAACGTCAAAAAAACTACAGTTGAACGTAAAAATAATCGTACTCAAACATTAACATATCAACTATTCGATGATACTAATTCCATGATGAAAATTATGTTTTTAAGTACTTGTCTATTACACAGTAAGTAGTATACACAGCTATTGATAAATTGGGAGATGACAATTATTTAAAAGATTACAGAGGAACTCATAAGAATAGGCCAAGAAGAATGTCAGAAGAGACTGAGAAAAGTATAATTGACCATATAAATCTATTTGAAAGAGTTGAATCACACTATACTCGTAAAGATAGTCAAAAGCAATATCTGTGTGAAACATTGAATGTCTCTAAAATGCACCGACTATATTTAGAATGGAAAGATACAAACCACCAGTACAATCATACATGCAAAGCAACTTATGAAATAATGTTTAATACGAAGTTTAACCCATCCTTTCACAAACCTAAAAAAGATTTATGTGAAATATGTTCAATTTACCAAACTTCTGATGATGTTAGAAAAGAACAGTTAAAAGCTGACTATGAAAAGCACTTGAAAGAAAAACAAATGGTAAGGCAATTAAAGGAACAAGAAAAGGAAAAATTTTGTTCAGGTGACAGTGTTGTAGCATGTTTTGATCTGGAAAAAGTGTTAAATATCCCCCAAAGTGAAGTAGGCATATTTCATTATAAACGAAAGTATCCTGTATACGATTTCACGATTTATAATATCTTAGAGAAGAAAGGTTACTGCTACGTCTGGCATTGTCAAATTGCGAAAAGGGGTGCGATAGAAATAGCTAGTTGTCTTTGGTCATTTATCCAGGCACACGTTGAAATAGGAATAAAAAACATATCCTTTTATTCTGATTCATGCACAGGGCAAAATCTTAATCGTTTCGTATTCGCCATGTTTTCTTTAGCGGCGAAGAAATACAACATAAAAATAACACATAGGTTTTTAGAAAAAGGTCACAGCCAATCGGAGGGCGATTCTATGCATGCTGCTATTGAGCGTTCTAAAAAAAAAAGCATACTATCTACATACCTGATCAAATGTATTCCTTGATAGAGAATGCCAAAGTTACCGGGCATAAGTATCAAGTAAAACAAATGACGCAAGCTGATTTCATAGATTTTAAAGAATTAATTAAAGGGAAGAATTGGTTAAAAGATACAGATGGTAATAAAATTTACTGGAGCAAAATTAAAGAAGTAGTTTTTCCTTATAATCAACCTGATACAGTTTACTTTAGATACAGTTTTGAAGACGAATTACAAGAGATGCAAGCTATTACGAGGACTAACTCACGAAGGCGACGAGGGGAACCTATAGAACACGCTGAAAACCTAAAACTCGCATACACTGGAATGCTGCCCATACCTCTTCCTTTATATAGAGATTTAATAAGTCTGTGTGACTCGGAAGCCACACCAAACCGTTACCAGTATTTTTACAGAAATCTATGCCATACACCTCATTACCAAATATACAAAATTAGTTACCACTTATTAGTTGTTTTCTGTTAGATTTTTCTTGTTTTTGTTTTAGTAATAATATACTTGATAAGTACCTACTTCGTTCTAAATTGGATAAATAAATAGTAATTATTATTATTAACAATATTTTTATTGAACCTTCATAAAAAAAAAAGAAAAGCTAATTTACATTATATACCATGCACTAATAAAGTCGTATTACATAAATATTGAGTCGATCTTGTTAACACAAATATACGGGTCTTTATCTTTACAAATATGTAAAAGCAACAAAATATACAAGAATAAGTGTGTAGATAACCAGAGCAAGGCTCAGGGAAAAAAAATATACGTGGAGTAACCATGCAACATTTCACTACACTTGTTTAAGCTTCATTTATGACACGAATAAACGTGCAGAGATAAAATAATGTTAACAAGTCACATATTATTCACTAGAATAATAATTTAATACGGTTTTTCTTAAATAATGTAGTAAACCGATAATATTTCATTTATAATAAATATATGAGCTGAAAGATATCTTTTTTACCTTTAATTTGATCACACATTATTATATTTGTCTATTTATTATGTAATTAAAGTTATGTGATTCCAAAGGTTATTATTTATCTTCCTGAAAAGTTGTCGTTTTTCGATTGCACGTTTATTCGTTGGGACCATCGAAATTAAAATGGGAAATAACTGTAATAAAAATAAGAAGAGACTGTGTTGGCGTAAAGAAACAGGCATAAATATGATAAAACTAATGAAATAAATATCTAACAACCTATCTACTTACAGTATTAGTGATTAAAAACATGTCGGTACATAGCATACGACGCGCGGAGAAGTGGCGTCGAAATTAAAATTTATGCTGAGGTAGTATAGGCCCTTAAGATGGATTGCTTAGCCATTTAAACGGTGTCCGATTCTCGTCTTTTGCTATTTTTGTTTATTTTGCTGTTATAATTGCTAATAAAACACAGTAGCATCATGCTGCTCTTTCATGCTGACAGGATGCACCGTGCTACACTGGTCCTTCCCCAGTTGAACTGAACCATCTGTGCAGCAGAATTGCTTTACCATGTGAATAACAATAATAATTTCTTAAGATGTGGTTCCATTTTCATAATGCTAGACTGTTCTGTCCTATGTTTTGTTATCCATGTCCTACATATACAGTAAGCATGTGGTATCCTGGCCATAAATGAAACCACAAGTAATACCAGTCCATAGAAGTGTATTAAAATTAAATATTAATTTAAAAACCATAAATTAAAAAATTGAAATTTTCAAACAAAATAAATATCTAAATAAATTCAGTAAAAGTAAACACTCTGTTTAGAAAACGTACCTTGACCCCTTAAAAGAGTGGCAAAATGGCAGTGGCCTAATCTTTTCACTAAACTGTTTATTTTTACCGCCACTTTTTTATTTCGCGATAACGAAACTGAACGAAATAAATATTATTGCACATTAGTTGAAAAGCTTATTGGAATCCTAAATTGTTAAATTTTCAAAATATCCGCCATGTTCTTGTATACACAAATTAATTAGTTGTCTCGAAACCTGCTTAACAAATTTCGTTCAGGATCCAGAGCTTTTTTATTTGTCAATTTTTTATTTGTTTTTTATTTGTCAAAGGCGGCGACAATACGATTGCGCAGTTCATCTTCGGTTTCGGAGATCTTTGAGTAAACTTTATTTTTAATAAATCCCCATAAGGGTGTTTCTCATTTTTCGTGCACATTATACGTCCAGGAGAAAAGTCTTAATTTTTCTATTAAATATCTACATTTCTTATAAAGAAAATCAAATTTAAAAAGGTTCTGCTTACATGCATGTAATATTTACAGATAAAAACAACGTAATAAGTTAATGATAAATAAAAAAAATACGTGTGGCACTCGGTGACTGCCGCGGTAAAGCTATTGCATAGCATTTTTTATCAACTTATGCAATTATAATTATTTATTTATTTTATTCATGCAGTTAAGTCTTTGATATTAAATCAAGTTACACTTTTTAAGCGTGGTGACCGATAAGAAAACAATTTTTTTCTCTTATTGAATAAATGAGAAGTTAATATTGTTTAAAACATTTTTAATATCTTACAATACATGTAGGTTATTCAGGAATTTTTATCATTGAGTTAGCAGCTAGTGTACACGCATACGTCTAGTCGCACGCACACAAACACCGTGCCGAAGTCTGCCGAGTGCCGAAGTCTGCCGAGTGCCGAAGTCTGCGAGTGCCGAACTGAAACGACGTTAGACGATGCACGGCTTTCAACGCCACACCTCCGTGCCCGTCGGAGTGGGGAGCGTGAGGTTTTTTTTCGTTACGGGATTTCTGGATTCGGTCTCCGCGCTCAAGGCCCGCGATAGAAGCTATGCAATAGCTTAAAAACTTCAATAATTCTCATTATATTCGATGTCCATTTACTAGTCTCCTAAAAAAATTGTATTTTTAACCAAAAATATAAACATTAAATATAAAAAAATAACCATATTGGTTGCGCGGAAAACCATTCGTATTTTATTTTATTCGAGGGTAAGTTTGCCAAAGCGTTTGTCCTTTCCAAAAAAAACCTACCGTCCTATCGATACACCGGGGTGGTGGGGTGAGAGGGGAAAGAAGATAGTTCTAGAATGTCACGTGATCTTCGCAACCGAAGTAATATAAACGCGCGCGCGGCCCACGCGCGCTCTCTTCCCTTCGCGCTCTTCGTTGGAACCACACCGCCTAGAACAGTAGAGTCCTAGAGGGCTTTGCCGACGCGCACCGCTAGTTCAACCGCATTAGCCCGGAGCAGTCGCGCTCCGGGAGTAACCGCCTCACCTCGTGTGAGATATAGTCGCGCACCGCTCTCTTCCATCGCATCACCGGACAGGAACGCATCTCTGGGGCCCCAGAGAATCCGCCAGAAGTTACACCGCAGCAACAAAGCGCCCAAGGCGCATCGAAGCAACACCCCGGTGAGTAACTTCCAGTTATAAGCCCGCTTGACATAATTGTATTTATCAGTTAATCCGCTCCGATTTCATTTTCTCCTAGCGTGATCAAGCGGGGTTCCTTCATAGACTTTGGCAAGCAATAGTTCGTTTAGGGAAGAACGAGTGCATTGTCAGGAAAACCGCATGCTATAGTAGCCATTTTGTGGAGACGGAAGAAGCCATCC